GATAACGCGTCAGCCAAGACATTCGACTTACCCGGCTTATATTCAACTTAGAAATTAAATTCAGAGAAGAATGTTAGCCATCTCGCCATTCTCGGCGAGAGGTGCGGTGAATTTATTGCGGTCCGCAGTGATGCGTGATCCGTATAAACCACAAAAGGTTCGGTGCCCAAGAGGTGCACCCGAAACTTCACAAGGACATACTTTATTGAAAGTAGCTTCTTGTCATGCACAGGGTAATTCATCTCGGCAGCTTTTAAAAGCCGAGACTGATAAGAAATGACACGGTCAACGCCGTTGTCATCCATCTGCATGAGCGCGCTGCCGATTGCAAAATTGCTTGCATCGCAGACGACGATAAAGGGCTTATCCGCGTCTGGCAATGCCAAGACCGGTGCTTCTACAAGAGATTGCTTCGTTGAAGTGAACAAATCTTCTTGTTCCTTTGACCAAGTCCATTCTGTATCCTTTTTTAAAAGGTCAGACAATGAATTGGTCTGCTCCGCATAATTCTTGCTGTACTTATGCAAGTAATTAGCGAGCCCAAGGAATTGGCGCAGATCCTTCACATGTCGTGGGACTGGCCATTCCTTTACAGCCTTTACCTTTTCTGGGTCTGCTCGTACACCATGTGCACCTACAATGCATCCCAGTACCGGTATCTCGGGGACCCCTATTACGCACTTTTGCAAGTTCACGTATAATTGGGCGTCACCCAGAGTCTGCAACACAGCGTCTAAATGACGCTTGTGCGACTCTATTGCGCTCAGACCGTCCTCCGCCCTACTATGCACGAATACATCGTCAAAGTAATGGGGCGCGTAGGCACGGTGCTGACGCATCACGTGAGCCACCACTCGGCTGAATGTTGCCGGAGCATTTTTCAACTCTTGTGGCATCACAAGCCACTCCCATAGCATACCGCTTGGTATGCTTACTGCCGTTTTGGCTACATCAGTATCTCTCATGAGAACCTGATAGTAGCCATCCTTCAGATACAACGCGGAAAAGATAGTTGACTTTCCCATGGAATTCAACAAGATATCTTTCCGCGGGGTATGCGTTTGAGCTGGAATGGTGGCCGTGTTCAGCTTATTATAAGCGTGAAACACGCGCCACCCACCTGTGTCTTTACGCACACAGAAGGTCGGGCTGCAGTGAGGCGACTTGCTCTCACGTACATGTCCCGCCTTAGCTCGCTTGTCGAAGAACTCATCGATGTAATCGACTTGTTCCTTCGGCAACGGCCATTGCCTGGTCACACAATACTTGGTGCCAGGCTCCAGGTCAATTTCGTGCCTGATGCCCCTATCGGCCGGTAGGCGGCTCGGCACTTCTGCTGGAAACACATCACGATGTTTCCACATAACATCATCGATTGGGCTGTCCTTCAAGGCATCCCAGCCTTGAGCAGCGAACCGTTTCTTTTTGTCGTTCTCCAAGACGCTCTCATCCATTGTGTATGAAGAGCAACAGTCCACCACGTTCTCTTCTGGAACTGGTGCGACTATTTCGTGGATCTTTTGTTCCTTTAGTTCGGACAGGAACAGATCCCACGTCATCTCCAAGAGATTTAATATCTCCTCGGCAGATGCCAAGACAAGTTGGAGCACCTCAACTGAGGATGCCTCCGGCATTTTGTCTTCGACGGCCTCGAACAACTCGTTCGTAGGTCCGTCCTCTTGGACTGAGACTGATCCAAGGGTCACTCGTTTCGACGTGCCCTTGATCGTCTTAATACGTCTGGTGCTCAATGTTCGAGTCACCACGACCTTTGACCTGGAAGAAGGTGTCGTTGCTATCTCAGCTAACGCACTCCTTACAACCGCACCCGGCTCTTGGCTCTGTGCTGGTTCTTGTGGCGCTTGACTTCCTGTCAGCCCACCATCAACTGCCACAAGCTCTCGGCTCTGTGCAGGACTAATGGACGCATGACTACCTGTCGTCGCCCCATTCACTACACTAGTCTTTTTGGCCTAGGTATGAATATGTGAAAAAAAACCGGCTTTCCGCCAGTGCAATTCCAACTACACCACTCCTTTCGAGCTGGGTAGTTCCTGGTGTCGATTGACATACCGTCATCGCACCCTCGACTGTGTTGGACACAGCATCATCCACATAAGCCTCTCGCAAGAGCACATCCTTTCCGGTGTCTTGCGTAGAGCTAGTGACTGTGCGTGTACGCCAGTCTATCCATGGTTGGTGTTTAGCCAACCAAGGCATGCCTAGGATGAGGTCATACGGGCTCTCCATACCAAGCACTGTGAACTTCTCTTTACAAGAGAAGTCACTGAAACTGAAGGCGAGTTCAACTTGTACTCCCTCTGATTTAACGAGCGCGCCTTTCGATAAAGGAACGATCGCCTCTTCTCGCTTGCCATCCTGGCAAAGCGACTCATAACTCTCCGGACTCTTTTTCAGAGCCGCGAGTTTCACAAAGTTTTGTGATGCACCCGAATCCACGAGAAGGGTCATCACTTGGTCATAGCCTCGTACTCGAGCGCTATAGACCAAAAGGTGGAGGTCCGAATTTTCGGTACCTCAGGGACTATGCTACCCATTTTTCGATAGCTTCGAACATAGGGGTAGCTTAAGAGTCCGTGACAGTAGGGCATCCCGCCCCTACTGCGCTCCCGCATTTCCCGACTTGTTGGGGGACGAATCTGAACCCTTTCGACGTGCACGGTTCTTGGAACCACCCTTCGGGTTGGGAGACCTTTTGCTGGCTGCCTTAGCACCAGCAGCTACTTTGGTATAGCAGCGAGCCATCATATGGCCTCGCTTGCCGCACTTGTAGCAGATCACGTCTGCATTGCCTAACTCCATTGGAGTGGTATCAGACTTCTCGGCCGATGGCTTATAAAAAGCTGTCGTCGAGGCGCTGTTGTAGGATTGCTCCTCAACAATGGCAATCTCAATTGCCTCCTCCATCGTCTTTGGCACCTTTCTAAGCAGGACCTGACGCGATGAACCGTGTCGTAGTCCGTTTATGAACGTAGATACCTTAATGTGTTCCGGTATCGGACCCACATTGATGAACGAAGACAGCGAACGCATCTCCTGCACATACTCTTGCAGAGATCGCTTCGCCTTTCTTGCGCCAAAGAAGCGCGCCTGGAGTAATACTTCATTGTAAAGGGGCTGGTACATGGCACGAAAATTTGACTAAAATATCGTCCATGATGGAAACGCATCAGCATTTACCATTAACGCAGAGTATTCTCACTTTGAAGCTTTGCCACGCAAATTTGACATGGCATACGACACCACCCTGGTGTCATCTTTGATGAGTTGCGCCATACCGCATTGCTCCACGGCTAAAATCCAGTGGACAATAAAATGTGGGGTAGTCCCATAAAAACTTCGGAGGGCCCATCCGAATGGGCCTTGGCTGATTAGACCGTGCAGAGAGCGTCTCAACTGTTCTGTTGAGCGCCTCAATTCGAGCTTGCTCACGCAAAAGCTCATTTTCAGTCTTATTGATGGACTCAGCCGTGGCTTAGCTGTTTACCTCGGATGCGTTTCTACGCTGTACGAGCACAAACGCCTCGAATTGCTCCAACTGAGTGACATGTTGCTCAGGAGGACAATTTTTACGAGGTTGGCAAGGGCTTGTTCACCAAGTACCTGTACCGAGTGCTCTGCCAACTTCCTATGGTATTGAGAGAGGTGAGTAAAATCTTTTCAATACACGTTGAGGGGTTTCCGTATCCACACGCACACTCAGAGATACGGGTAGTACTAGTTCTACCAAGTGTAGACGGGCGCTTCGTAAAGAAGCTGCCACGTACTACGCGGGCACACCATCAAGCAGCGCGAGGAAGCGGTTATACCGTCTAACTCCGCGTGCGGTGGTAGTTGCGTTGGTCGATGCTTAAAGCGCCGAACCACACTGTTGCCGGGCGCTTAGAGCTGTCCGCGCAACGAACAACTAAGAGATACCTCACTTACGTCACGCAGAAGCTTATCAAGCTTCTCGTGCGCAGTGGGTAGTAGTTAGAGAAATTCAAGACTGACTTGTATTTAATAGTTTTTAACTAAATATAAGATCAAGTACTGATTAGTTAATTACGCAAAGATTGGATACGCGTCTCTTTAGAAGCGTATCCTTACGTGCAAGACCTATATATATCTAAGCTCACTGGTGACGTCTGTCTGTAGCGTCACCATGACGCCCAGTCCCAACTGGCGTCATCCTCGTTGAATGTGAATCCATCCATGAATATTACATTTCGAGGGTGGGTCACATTGATGTGCCACACCCAAGTGGCAGGCCAAAGGTACCTCGTACCCATTTAGGCCTGCCCGTTAAGTATCGAATACCTTAACGAACCGTGTAACTTTCAGCCCGTTACAGCAGCCCTTGTCACGGACAGAGAGCTGGCATTGACGAGTGCTATTCGCAGTGTCTATACCAATTCGGTCAATCTTCTTTGCATCTAGTACATGTAATAAGAACCGGGAACGGTTTTCAGCGAAGGAAACAAAGGCAAAGAAGTGGAATGGACTGCGTTCCTTGTTGTATAGAGTGAAGTTATACAGTTAGCAAGACAAGAGTACCTTGATACGCAAAGGTTATAATATAGTTAAAGGTAATATTGTCAAAAATTATTCGATATAATATTTTTATAGATACTTCATATACGTGTTACTTTTATACATAAGATATTATTACTTTATATGTATAATGTAACGGACTCACCTTGTTAAAACATAAACCAGATAAACTACCTAATATATGCATTTCCTAAAAAAAATTATTTTTGGAATGATCGAACATCAATTTGATTAAAATGTTACAGCATCCTCATTGTACGCGGCAATAAACTAATTTTTTATCAAAAAAACAAATAATGATGACTGAATTTACGGTCCAATCATGTTGAAGTCTACATTTAATCCCGAAAAGAATATAAAAAATGGGCAAGTTGCAAATTGAGGGTTACATCAGATAATTTATGAAGATTGGCCAAAATATCAAAGTATTTTTTGGAAGCATTTCAATGAACCGCGGCATTCGTCATCGTTTGTTGTCTCAAGGCGTATGGCCTTCTCTGCTGAATGCCGCAAACCACATCAAGTGGAAGTGCTATCTCTTCAGCATAGCTCTGCTCCACTTTTTCTTCTCTAGCGACAAGCAGTGGCTGCAGTCCTCCTCCTCTTTTTCTCCTGTAACAGTTGATACATTTTCAGATGCGACGGTACTGCTCATATCTACCGGAACAGACCAGCAAGCCACTGTTGTGATCAAACGCAAGCGCATAATTTTTGTTCGTCACGCCGAGTCCGAATGGAACTTTATTTTTAACCGCGGATTGAATCTGCGTGCGTTCATGAATCTCCTACGCGCTGTGGTGTATGAATGGCTGGTGCTGCTTACAGGCGACTCGTTGTTCCTGGACTCACCACTGAGTCGACGCGGTCGCTTCCAGGCGAAGAATCTACAAAATCACGTATGCGAGATGTCGGTCGAAGGACGCAGCGACGGTGACAAAGCCGTGGCAGCTACATTGTCGCCAGTAGAGGCACTCTATCACTCGCCGCTTCAGATGATAGAAGAGAGCTCGTTGCTGAGCTATCTTTGCTTTTCATTGCCTGGCAGTATCGTGGTCACGTCGAACCTGCGTCGTACCATCGACACGGCGCGTATCGCGTCGGCATCGAGACTAGAAGTGCCAGGAGAGAAGATCCACGTGCTGTCGTGTCTACAGGAGATTGGCCGTAACGTTGACACGCTGGCCATCAGTAAGCCACACGCAGTTCAGCCACATGAGGTTCTGGTGGATCCGCCACGTGGAGAGAAATGTCACGACGAGCTGTTTGATGTGGTGGAGAGTCACGGCAACAAGGCAGTGCTGGGCAGTGGACGCGACCGTCTGCTAACGTTTGCGCATTGGGTTTTCAAACAACCGAAGGATGTGGTGATCGTGTACGGCCACTCGCTGTGGCTCCGCGCGTTTTTCCGTGAATTCTTTCCTTGTAACGTTTTTCACGAAGCCAAGTCGACCAAGATACGCAATTGTGGCGTGGTGACGTTTCTGCTGGAAGAGCACAGCAGAGGCGGAGGTCATACCGCGCAATACAACATTCCACCCGAAAGCTTTCAGCGCCTTGTCTAACTTGAAGCGTCAGCATTATTATACACAGTCATCGAATCAAGAAATGTTGATATGTCATGCCGCTACCGGTAAAGTATTATTTACGTGATGGTTTTCTTCGCTCGACTAAATTAATGAATCTCGGCCACACTTGCCACCATCGATATGCTCTTTTCGCGAGCCCCATTCGAACCAGAAATTGCCTTATGTTGCGCGATGCACAAGCAATAAGCACATCTGCTTTTGGTGTCACAATGTAGAGGTATCCTGATAAATCATACAAACGACAAGCAAGTGAGAAGAATGCGGGACTTGCTAAGTGTGTCAGATCGCATGCCTGTAAGGAGTCCAGCGGCTTGGGCCAGTAATGGCAACTTCGGGACGAAGAGGTAAGTAACAAACAGCTCAAGCCACGCTGCGTATTTCGTAGGCACCTTGAAGTTATACAGTGTCGTGAATGTTGGCGAGTTAACGGTCAAAATCACCTGCAGAGCAATGCAAGTAAGTAGTTTGTTGCGATTTTGTCGGGACATACTCCAAACCTTCATTGCGGTAAGGACACCGGAAAATCCGGTGAAATATTCTTGAGCTGCTCCCTAAACATAACAAACAAAACAACAGTCACATCAGATACCTTGTCGCAACTGAGGTTTCTGGAAGGCGACAAACCCATGAGATCAAGTGAGCTCCAAACACAATGAGAGCTTGAGATAGCGCAATCAAGTAGAGCAAAAGCACACAAAAGCCTATACTTCCAAGCCGTCCCTCAAGCTTGTACCCTTTCCACAGCAGCGACACCCTACAGAGCAACGCTTAGCCTCGAAAAAATATGACTTCAAATGGAAGTGCTCGACTCAACAGAATTGTAAACGCGAACTCACAAGCTTTGATATAAATGAAAATCCTCGAAATGGATAAAAGGAGCAATAAACACCGCTTCCATACTTTTAGTAGCCACCACTTTTTCAGGACATCTTCAATAGTAACGACAGCAAATAAGATGCACATTATTTTCTCAGTGACACACACACACACACACAATCCACTTACAATGCAAAAGGGAGTAGCAGCGATGGTGTTCGACTTGCTTGTACATGCAACAAATACATGACGCCTACACTATTCCAATGAGCCATTTCATTTACGTTTACAATCTCAAAAAACATATTTTCATCGCAAACCAATGAGCACAAGTGTGACGGGCGGTTTTCGGTCCATTTCTTGCACAGAATTCAGCAGCACAAAGAGTGGCGGAGGTATATCACCTACGTCTCTTTTGTCACTTGTCTTAGATTCTCCATCATCGTTCCTATCGTTAGACCTCTCTTGCACCTTCTTTCGTCTAAACAGTCTCATGGTTTCTAACACAATCTGTAAATAAAGAGTTTTCCAGCTGTTTTCTGAGAACTTCGCGATGAGACGATAAGAATGCATACAGAGAGGAAAGCCTCGGTATTTGGCAATGGAATTTCCTGCAATCACAAGACACCATATGTATCATGAAGAAAAAGTGCTGATTTTATTACGAAAAAAAGAAGTGCGTGATTGGAGGTCCAATGCTGCAAGGATTAAGGAAAAAAATCGGTCGTTATGCATCCGTTGGCGGCGTCGAGGAGACGCTCGAGGAGGAGGGAAGGCAGAAGCAGAGGCTGAAGGAAGATGCTACGCCCATGGAGGCGGCGGTATGGCACTTTAATAAGCAGGATAGGACTCTCCGAAGACTCGAGACAGAGATGATACACATGCTTGACCAGCTTCGGGTAGGAATTTTCACAATCTTATCGTCATATTCGTCAATTTACTTTAATTTCTGCAGGTTGCTTTTGTATCGATGGCTACAGTGGCAGAAACGATCTCGAAAATCTGCAGGTATTGAAGATTTTTCTAAAGTATTTTTATCCTTTGTTTTTATTTAGAATTTGTGTCGTTTTTTTGTATTTTATCGATGCTTTCCCAGTGATAAAGAGAAAGAAAAGGATTATGTAGCTGCTATGAAGCAGATTGAACAGGAAGACACTGAACGGATGGAGCAATCCATTCGGTTTACTATCTTAGATCCTTTGCAAGCAAGGCTGGAACGATATGATCAGTTAAGGAAGGAAATTCACAATTGGGACAAACTCCGTGCGGGAGCTTTAAAAATGCACTTGTCCCGATTCGAAGATGATGAAAAAGGACTACACCTAAAGAGGGATCTTTACACATTACTACAGGAAGCAGAGGAAGCGTTACTGCCACAGTTAGGTAGGATTTACCTGATGGATGGCTATATTTCTTGTAAACATATCTAACGATTTGTATGCATTTTGCAGAGGGCGCGATTCGATCGGAGGCTGTCACTACAGCCGCCTTGTTCAAGACAACGGTCAGTATTGAAATAATGACTGAGCTCCTCCTTTCTGTGATGTCTCTGACACATTCTCTTTCTACAGCGCCTTCAAACCGCGATTTTCTTCCGAAATGCTAGCCGCTCCGTCCAGTCGAGCCTTACGCTACCAGAACAGGAACTTGTTGTGGAAGCTAATCGAGCCTTCAAATATTCTGCAGCTATGAATGTACCGTTGTCGTCAAAGAGCTTAAGCTTGGCATCCGATGGGTGGTCTGAGGTAGATGGATCTAGCTCGTCTACCGCACTTGACGGAGTCGAAGCAATTTCCGGAAGTGACGAGGACGATGAAAGTAATGTATTATCAATCACCTTCGAGAATATCGCGGCTGGAAGAGTGCTCCGAACAAGCAAATTGACCGAAGTTGGTGCGGAACAGCAACGAGCAGACAAACCCATAGTTACTCCAGCTTCGTGTCCAATGATAAGACATGACGGCGACGATGAGAAAGAGGTTCGAGGAAAGGATGCCGATGGTGAGCAGTCTAATAAGCCTCCCTGCTCGACGTCTTTGTGGCCACGTACTGCGACCTTGAAGCCGGCCACACCTCGAAGAACAACAACTATGCTCACGTCAATCCGCAAAACACTTTGGGGCAAGCTCAGTTACGCAAGTGGAGAGACGAGAATGATTCGGCAGAGCTCTGCATCTATTACTGATACATCTGCGAGTGCCGGCCAGGGCGTTGATTCACCGCGAAAAGTATGTACCGCTTTCGGATTGTTTATGTATTAGATGAATGCATGGGGTCTGACTTACTTTGACGTCCTTCTCCAGTGCGACGAAGAGCTTCATATCATTCCTCAATCCTCTAAAGAATGGCTAGTCATTGAAGACTGCCTATGGGACTTAGATATGAGTGCGGCTCGATCACCCGGAAACCCGCTGTTGCAGACAGATTTAATCAGCTATGACGCAGATGACATTCTGTCTAGACTACTTCAAGAGGTTTGCTCGTGCCTATGAATGCTATCTGGTATTCAAAGCTTACTAACGCCGATCTCGTCGATTTGCAGGACGATTCTCTGTGCTCCGAATGTCTATCATATCTGCGCATCGAAGACCTTGCGCGTCTTACCAAGGTTAGTTCCTAGCGGTCTATGGATGTTTTTCTTGTTTGTTGTTCCCTAGTAAATTACTACTGATACCAGCGATCTACATATTCAGGTCAATTTCCGGCTCCATTCTCGTTTGGTTGATAGCGCTCCAATCTGGAAGAAGTGCATTAGATCTGGTGGTCTATCCCCAGCAATTCGCAGTTCGCTGTGGCTCTCAGTATTTTACGAGTCTACACCATGGCGGTCTAGCGCGATTGTGTCGCATTACCTATCCGCTGACAGACGTCGCAGTATGTATGACCAGCTGCTGACGAAAGAAGGAACGAGATTGGCTGATGAAGTCATTGGAGAGGGACCGTCATCGATAAAAGAGGATGCCCAACTTGCAATTTGGTTTCGGGAAATCGACGTTGACGTCGTTCGCACATGCCACCGGACCATCTGTGCTAAAGTAATGCCGCGCACATTTTCAACAATGCCGACTGCGGCTGACAATGAAGATTCCATCGAGTCCATTTTGAAGGAAATGGTGAACACTATCGTCAGAACTGAGAAAGAGGATACTTCTTTATGTGATTCGTACAGGAGCCCCAGCACAAATTTTACCAGTGTGAACGCGAGAAACTTAGATCTGGAAGCAAAAATGCGTCGCGTGCTCCGTGCGTACGTCGTGTATAATCCGCGTGTGGGCTACTGCCAAGGTATGGGGTTCATAGTACGCTTGCTGGCTGAAGTAGCCGACGACGAAGCAGACATTTTCTGGCTGTTCGTGGGATTTTCTGAGCCAGAGAATGACCAGAATCTCTATGAGCCCGGAATGGCTGTGCTACAACCGTATCTGTCTAAATTCGAGCTGCTTTTGTCGATACACATGCCAAAGCTGTACTCACACTTTCAAGCTGAGGGTGTTCACGTGGCTGCATTCTGCACTCGATGGTTCTTGACGTTCTTTTCGTCATTTGAGGCATTAGCACCGACTCTTGTGACTCGCCTGCTTGACATTTTCATCATTGACGGCTGGCGTATCATGTTCAGTTTTTCGCTTGTCATCTTGGATGAGCTGCAGAAACAGCTATTAAAGTGTGATATGGAGGGTATTTTGCGCATCCTTCAGTTCCCACGCAGCTACATGCCTGAACCTGATCAGCTTCGCCAGCGACAACTTGTTCGACATGCACTGGCGTTCAGTGTGACTCGCGCGATGAACTCGATCTGAAAGAATTTACTAACTGAAGCTGTGAGTAATTCTCGATCTCTTACTCATGTGGCTCTCTTGCTAACTAGATGGCATGTCGATATTATTTCACAGACAAGACAACGCTTTGAGGGCATAGCTGGGGTTTAAATTTGCCGTGCGTTGTGATGTGGCCGCGTTCTGTTGACCGTGATCCCACATCAATAATTAACCATCGCATGTACCAGGCAAGCTGAACAACCAGTCTAAGTACACCAACTTGTCCTTTGGAGTGGTACACAGTGTTGCCAGCACTAATGTCACCTTTTAGCATATTTACAAAATGACATTTTTGGGACGCGCTGTACCTATCGTCACCATTAATGATGACTTCCTTTACAATATTGAGCAAACGCTAGCATTTTTAGCGTAAACAAGAATCATCCATTTTGCGAATTTACCGAATCGGTAGACCATACCCATCAGAAATCGGCCTGATGTAGATATTTCGCTCTTGTAAACGACATTGCCCCGAATACCTAGTGGGGTTCAAGACAGTATATATAGCCCACACAAAGACACGATAATACAAAAGAATGATCTGCTCGTCGACCCAAGTTAAAAGTTGAAGCGACAGTCGATGTCGCACGCGTGTGATCGTCGATCGAGTACAGCGGCTGATCCTCTCAATTGACGAACTTTGCTCTGCTGACATAGTGCTATTACAGCACGACGATGCCTGAAGATATTAAAGAATACGTCTCGGCGTGTGGAACCTGCGCAACATGGAAGCACAAGAAGGGACTGCTCATTCGACGTAATAAGCGCCACGTCGTAAAATAGTATGAAATATAAGAGTAGTAATACCGACATATGGAAATCGAAAATATTAATCGAAGTTTTGAGCACATAAGACACACATGAGTCGGCTTCAATTATAGTGTTGAGAGAGCCCGTAAAGGTTCGACACGTTTAAATTCTTCACTTTAGCTTGCATCGAAAATTGTGCTAATATTGTAGTCTCTCAATAATAGCTATAGTATCATGCTTGGACACAGTTTAAGCCACGATTTCCGGTGCTGCCGAACGGAAATCCCGATTCCGCAGAAGTCTACAACACAGAAATGGTGTCAAATCGAATGCGCATTAAGACCTTCGATAACGAAAAAAAGAACGATGCGAGTACACGTGTGGAGGGAAAACAACTAAGAAGAAGGCGGTGAGTAGCGCTTGACCAAACCCAGAATCATAAGTCAAGTGTAAGCCGAGTCTTTAAGGACCAGCAGCCTTTATTGCATCTTCTATATAATAAAAGGATTGTGTCCGTCCGTAGTGCTCCTTTTCCGGCATTCGGATTGGCTACTTTTGCATTATTTGCTAATTTTGGATTGGCTAATTTTGCATTGTCGGCTATTTTAAATTGGCTGATTTTGCGTTTTGCATCGATAAAAAATGGGTAGATTTTTTTAACTGAGTATAGTTTATTTGGTGTGTCCGTTCTTTATTTAGTACATCGACGAAACGATGGGTACACGTTGACCTTCATTCCCATCGTTATGTTGCTTTATCAAACACAGCTTTTCTTAAAAAATTAGATTAGACACATACTTTAGATTCGTTTAAAAAACATGAGTTTATTGCTTTAATAATACACTTAATGTGGTAAGAGCAAGCGTTGTCACTAGGTTGATTTGGATTCAGTTCCAAAAAGCGAAGTGACCCATATGTATTGTATATTACCTATTAGTGTACACATTGACCTTCATACACATTACCTTTAAAACTAATCAATTACCTAAGTCAATCTACAATCAGCGCCAAATTTGTGCACCTGTCGGCCGAAACGACGGGAACACCCCTATAATTATTAATAGCATAAAGCATGTCCGTCGGAACGACGGGTACACACCCTAGTTAATTTACTATAAACTTGCAAGATTATCGCGTGCGAGTGACATATCATGTGTAACGGAGTGAGCCCGTTACATAATATTGACACTTATATGAAGTGTCAATAAAATTATTATTATAAATAATAATATTTTTGACAATATTATCTTTTCTATAATATTGTTCCTAGATCTCCTTGAAGTTGGAGATGCCATCTCATTGGTTGATATGGGCCATCATATCAACCAACGCGCTGACCAATGACCGATGGACGCGCGCAATGAGTGGAGAGCAAGTTGTCAACATACATAGTTGTAGTTTAATATAGTTAACATAGGTTATAACAGATTAGTTCTATTAGATAGTTAACTATATTAAATACAGTTTTCTTTTCCTTCTCAACTAAGCGTTTGTTTAGTTAATTCCCTTCCTCTGATCACGTGTACGTGAGGTAATTAAGGCACCTGGTTTCACTGTAATCAGTGAAAGCAGACTATACTGTAATCAGTATAGTCGGAGGGTGCCCCATTACATCATGGCTTGCAGAGGGTCACTCGGTTGTCCATTTTGCGTACCTGGCACCAAGTATTGTATAACCAGGCAATGGCCGTTGCCGAAGGAACAAGTCGATTACATCGATAAGTTCTTCTACAAGCGAGCTAAGGCGGGACATGTACGTGAGAGCAAGTCGCCTCACTGCAGCCTGACCTTCTGTGTGCGTAAAGCAACAGGTGGATGACGCGTGGTTCATGCTTATAATAAGCTGAACACGTCCACCATTCCGGCTCAAACGCCGATCCCGCGGAAAGATATCTTGTTGAACTCCATGGGAAAGTCAACTATCTTTTCCGCGTTGGATCTGAAGGATGGCTACTATCAAATTCTCATGGGAGAGACTGATGTAGCCAAAACGGCAGTAAGCATTCCAAGCGGTATGCTGTGGGAGGGCTTGTGATGCCACAAGGGTTGAAAAATGCTCCAGCAACATTCAACCGAGTGGTGGCTCACGTGATGCGTCAGCACCGTGCCTACGCGCCCCATTACTTTGACGATGTATTCGTGCATAGTAGGGCGGAGGACGGTCTGAGCGCAATAGAGTCGCACAAGCGTCATTTAGACGCTGTGTTGCAGACTCTGGGTGACGACCAATTGTACGTTAACTTGCAAAAGTGCGTGATAGGGGTCCCCGAGATACCTGGGTTGGGCTGCATAGTGGGTACACACGGTACCCAGAAAAGGTAAAGGCTATCAAGGAATGGACACTCCCACGTTATGTGAAGGATCTGTGCCAATTCCTTGGGCTCGCTAATTACTTGCATAAGTACAGCAAAAATTATGCGGAGCAAACCAAGCCATTGTCTGACCTTTTAAAAAGGATACAGAATGGACTTGGTCAAAGGAACAAGAAGATGCGTTCACTTCAGTGAAGCAATCTCTTGTAGAGGCACCGGTCTTGGCATTGCCAGACGCGGATAAGCCTTTTAGCGTCGTCTGCGATGCAAGCAAAGTTGCAACCGGCAGCGCGCTCATGCAGATGGATGACAACGGCGTTGACCGTGTCATTTCTTATCAGTCTCGGCTTTTAAAAGCTGCCGAGATGAATTACCCTGTGCATGACAAGGAGCTACTTTCAAGTAAGTATGTCCTTGTGAAGTTTCGGGTGCACCTCTTGGGCACCGAACCTTTTGTGATTTATACGGATCACGCATCACTGCGGACCGCTATAAATCACCGCACCTCTCGCCGAGAATGGCGAGATGGCTAACATTCTTCTCTGAATTTCAAAGTTGAATGCAAGCCGGGTCAGTCGAATGTCTTGGCTGACGCGTTATCGCGCAGACCAGACTTCGAGGCAAGACACCAGGATAGTGTTTCTCGTGCGAAAGCACAAGTTGAGTCGTCAACATTGGCAGCCATGAAGGCCTACCATGTGACTAACTTAATGGCCTCCGATATAAAGAAATCTTACAGTCAGGACGAACATTGTCGCCTGCTGTTGGATCATTTTGGTGGACGAAAGGTTACCCTTCCTTCGCACCTCAAAGCGAAACTAAATCGCTTTAGTTACAGTGATGGCCTGTTATGGCATCAACTGTCACCCTGTGATCCCTTGAGAATCTATGTCCCTCATGACACAGATCTCAAGCTGATGATACTTCACGAGTGCCATGATGCGCCATCGAGTGGGCATCTGGGCCGTGAAAAGACATTCTTACGATTGTCAGAGGAAATTTTGGTGGCCCACCTATATCGGTGGGTGGCCAAGTATATTCGCTCTTGCGAAGAGTGTCAGCGCATAAAGCCTGCACCTTCGAAGAGTGCGCCACTGAAGCCACTGACGATTCCAACTGAATGTTGGAAGTCGGTCAGTTTGGACTTCATGTTTGGCTTACCGCCTGACCATAAAGGCAGGACGAGGATCGTCGTCTTTGTAGAAAGACTGAGCAAGATGGTGCATTTGGCACCATGTAGCACCAAGATCTCAAGAAAAGAGGCTGCCCTCTTGTTTCTGGATCACGTGTATCGACTACACGGGATGCCCGAGTCCATAGTATCGGACCGGGATCCGCGTTTTACGTCGGTTTTTTGGCGACATGTGTTTGAGCTGCTGGGTAGCAAGCTCCACATGTCAACCGCTGATCATCCCCAGACCGATGGCCAAACAGAACGGGCCAATCGAGTCGTGGCGGGTGTGTTGCGTAAAGTAGCGACTCCTAAAGAATGGAGCAAGCAATTTCCATTCGTGGAGTTCGTTATTAATAATAGTGTTCACGCCACGTACGGGTGAAACACCGTTTTACATTAACGGACTGCGTCATCCTCGAACGCCAGTCTCGTTTGTACGCAGCCCGAGTCTTAGTGGGGTAGGGCCCCTCACTTCGCTCGGTGCGAATGCCAAAGAGGGTCACAATTGCCTAGTTACACTGCTCATTTAGCAGTGGTCACGAAACCTATAGGTGCCAATGAGGAGTAACGGCAAGAAATGCCTGTGCTCCTCGATGATGACACTATAGTGTTATCAACAGCGTCGACCCATGAACGACCTCTTGGAGGCGTCATCGGCAAGATAAATGCTTAAAGCGTGAGCGAAGCTCAGCGCTTTGTGGATGAGCGATTAGACATCACAAGTAAAGTCCGTGACGCGATGGCAA